AACCTGCACAGGTCTATTCCCACACACATTCCGGTCCACCTGCGCAGGCATACCTGCACAGGTGGACCTCTCCGGTAGACCGTAGCGTGTATGGCCGGCATTAGATAAATCGATTTTTTTCTGTAAAACACGAACAAAACTTAACCCAAGTAGTTTATTTTCTTTTTTAAGTTTATCGTGTTTACAAAAACAGATAGACGCGGCCGGGGACTTCAATTGATACAGATACCGGCAAACATCTTGAACAAATATCCTTGCCTGCGCAAAAGCGATTTTTAGGTATCATTACGGGAGGGTGACGTGTCGATCGCGTGATTGGTAAATCAGTTGACGTTTGTGTACCGCGATGCGCAAACTTTCCCCCACTCCCTTGTTTAATGCTCAAGAAGTTTGCCGGTATCTGCAGTGTATATTAAAATTGTATAGAACAGAGGGCAAACCGGCAGGAGGCTCACCTCTAGTTAAACACTGCCGCCCATGGACACTCAATGCTAGGCTAGAAAGCCTTGCCTTGAAAGTGTGTTGCCTTCTAAGAATTGGTACGCTCTTTTCTTGTATAAGTCGAATTGTAGACACGGTTGGAACTTCGTGTTCTGCCTCGACGTCTGATGATGGCAGTCAGCGGATGATTAATCCGAAGAACTTCTTTGAACATTCCATGGTAAATGCGATAGGAGATCCACATCTCTACGCAACCCCAAGATGTGAGACTTTAGTTACCCATAGTAGATCATTAGATAATATTATATAACGAATTAGCTAATAGCTAATGTAACTTTAATGTGTGTTGCCAAAAGTTGTGTATAATAACTTGTGAATAAATTTCCATATTTGCATTGGTAGAACGCATCAAACTTGTTTTTGTAACTGTATATTATAATTGATTCGGTCACTAGATCACAGACTATAAAAAAACTTCAATAACATTATAGTTACTAGACTAACACGTCGAGTTAATGTTTAGAAACGAGCTAAGTTCGGTGACGGTTGTTGTGGATATGTTCAGATATATACTGCTCAAAACAATTAGCGGAACAAGATTTTTCTCCTTTTTATTGCTTAAACTAAAATTAGATTTAAATTAACTTGTACGCTATTTTTTACATTTTTAATTACTACAATTAATAAAAAAATTCAATTTGTATTTTTTTTATTAAAAAAAAATTAAAATGTGCATTGTAGACGAAAAACTAATTGGTGATAAAAAAGGTCCATCAAAGAAATATTCTTATATCGTTTGAATATTCGTCTTTAGTGACTTTCAGTAACGTGTGTGGCCTCCATGAGCCCTAATCACGGCTTGACAACGACGCGGCATGCTTCGTATGATCCTCCGAATATCTTCTTGTGGAATTCGCTCCCATTCTTCAATCAACGCTTCAGTGAGCTGCTGCAGTGTTTGAGGTGCAATCGGACGCTTCCGGATGCGCCTGTCAAGCAAGTCCCAAATGTGTTCAATTGGATTTAGGTCAGGGCTCATGGAAAGCCACTCCATTACACGGATTTCCTGCTGTCGTAAGTAATCTGACGTGATGGCTGCAGTATGCGGCCTGGCATTATCTTGCATTAAAAGAAAATCTGGGCCCATACCATATGCTGCGGGCCAAACATGATCTTCGAGCACATTTTCAATGTAAGTTTGAGCACACAAGCGCCCGGGAACAACGACGAGATCTGTGCGCTCGTCCAAACTAACTCCGCCCCAAACCATCACAGAGCCACATCCAAATTTGTCATATTCCTGGACTGCTGCTGCACTGTATCGCTCGCCTGGGCGTCTGTAAACACGGAGACGACCATCGCAACGTGTTAGACGGAATCGTGATTCGTCAGTAAAAAGCACTGGCCTCCAATGTCGAAGTTGCCAATTAGCGTGATTTTGCGCGAACTGTCGGCGAGCTTGTCTATGTTGAATTGTTAGACGCACAGCCCGAACTGGTCGGCGTGATCTCAAATTGGCTTCCAACAACCTATTTCTTACCGTCTGGTCGGAAATTTCTACACCAGCCGTCCTTAGTGTATTTTGTAGATCTCTTGCAGTTGTGGTGCGGTTGCAAACGTGTAGTTTTTCTCTTTCGACCTTGACCACGCCTTCGTGAGTATTCTCCCGTCTCACGGTATCGCTTCCAAAGTCTGTAGATAACAGAAGGGGCTACTCCTAGATCATTTCCTACATAACGCATAGTTCGACCCTCTTCAAGCAAAGCGATAGCTCGGGAGACATGCAATTCAGTCAGATCTGGCATTATGACCTAAACTCACTCGCTTCAATGAATAACAATACTCAAAAGGCTCACTTCAATTTCTATTAATACTCAAAAGATTGAAAAAAACTACTTAAAATGTGTTTTCTGTGATTAGAAAGTAATGAAAATTCAAAGACGTCACTTTGTTTTCGTCTACAATGCACATTTTAATTTTTTTTTAATAAAAAAATACAAATTCAATTTTTTTATTAATTGTAGTAATTAACAAATTAACAAGGTAAAAAATAGCGTGCAAGTTAATTTAAATCTAATTTTAGTTTAAGCAATAGAAAGGAGAAAAATCTTGTTCCGCTAATTGTTTTGAGCAGTATATATCAAATGAAACACTTTGTTTGAAGCTGAGTAACAACTGACTTTAATTGTTTAAAATATTAGCTTATAACTAACATAAAATTAGGGGTAGTGGGGTTGCGACGCTAAGAAAAACTAACTCGGCTTATCTAATAGGGGGTTTACACGGGTGACTAAAGCCGCACGATTTTTGCCGCGCGGCGTAAATCGACCATCTAAATGGCAATTCAGCCAAGTCGCAAGTGACTAAAGCCGCAAGCCCCAAAGTTGGGTAGCATCCGACTTTGGCCGCGCGGCGACCGGCCGCATGCGACTGGTGACTGAAATCGACCGTGTAAACACTTAACGATCAGTTGCAGGCGATCGCCCGCCGCATGAAGGTGTTTCGCTCACGTACGTGTATTATTTCCTACAATAATAATAATATTTTTTTTTGTTTTTTTAAATAATCAGGATCTTCTAAACTCCACTCAACGAATAAAGTATCCGAAGCACCCAAGACCTTACGTCGAGAAATCCATCCTCGTACCCAAACATTACGTTTTCTTCTTTCCTTTTGTTTTTTTCTTCTCTCTTTGTTCTTTAAGTAATTGTTGAATAATTGAATAATTAATTATTTCAATTCCGGCACAAACGGCTATTCTGCTCAACATTTTCGATGGAAATGACCGAGCCGCATGCGATTTTAGTTACCTGTGTAAATGGGCTAGCGATGCGGCTTGGTGAGGCAATTTGTGAAGCGACGGCGAAAATCGACCCGTGTAAATACCCCATCAGGGTTTATAAATCTAAGAAACACTTCAATACAAGCATAGTCGACCTTTTTGGATATTATCGGAAACGAGAATATTAAATTACAATTTATGTGTGTGGAAAAAACTAAAGAGCTCATTTTGGCTTCAAGTGTACGATGATTGCTTACATTTTAACGGTTCTAATTATTTACTAAAATATATGTAACTTAACTAATGTTAGGTTACATAACTTACGTAATAAAACCAATGACAAAATTAATTTCTTTACTGCGCTCTTCGTCGCGTTAGCATAATCTTCCAACCAAATTTGACTAAAGTTAATTGTTTACAAAGTTCTAGTGAAACATACCTTAAAATCAAGAACTTTGCAGGATAAAGTTAAGGAAAGAAGTTGTGCTTTCTTTTATAAAAGGGTTTATTCTTCTTTTGCACCTTTTCGATCGTTCTATAGTACCTACTATTCATATATATTTTTTTTTTTTTTTTTTAGAACAGAGTGAAAACAGACTGGAGGCTCACCTGTTGTTTATGAGGAATAGAGCACTCTAATGGCAGTGTCCGCGAGGCCAACTGAATTCCGCAGGAGGAACTCTAAGCTCCTAAAAGCAACATTTGAAAAAGTCAGAATGCTCCACAAATGGGTGATCCGGAACGAACGAAACACCCAGGCTTCAAAAAACGAAATATACCCCAATGTTTCGAAAAAGTCACCAGATATCTGGTGATGACTTAAGCTCTATAGACGAATTCCAAATATTCCTGACTGACCTTGCAAAACGATCTTGCAGCCCTGGACTCGTGTAGTCAGAGAAACTTCAAGAAACTTAATTTGATTAGCAACTCCACAGAGTCCTTTTTTTTAGCAACCTTGCTGTGTAATTTTTTTTGATCATAATTATGCATTTTTGTATATTTTCGGATACTTGGCGGACCCATGCGACTTCTTCGTTACAAAAAGTCCCCTCCGTGGTTGTGTGCTGCGCTCCGTAGACATATTGGTCTACTGCTTTGCATTGATTATCGAGTAACTATTTTCTTAGTAACTACTTAGATTTAATTATTTGAAAGGCATTAAAATTTGACAAAAATCTAATAATTTTATGTATACCTTTAATTCAAAAGTTTCATTTCACCGCCAATGCAATAAATTGTTATATTATAAAAGATATAAATACATGTATTTTTAACTCTATCCTCAATATTGGACCCAACTTTTGTGTCAATAACAACATAATCGCGCGATCCATGTTAGTTTTAATCAGCACAGAAACTGAAAACCGCAAATGTTGACGAGTTACAGGGAAGAATTTGCAGTTTTGTTGAATTACAGGAAAACATAAATTATGCTGAAATTTTATTGTTGATGGCATCGGGTTCAAAAGCTTCTCAGCTTTTTACAAGTTTTCCTTAACAATAAAAATAATGAACACAATGTATTTTGTTAAAATTTTCCTAAAATTTGCTTATTTTTCTCACGTACTCTATTACCTATAACCGTAATGTCCTGTGGAACTGGAAGTTAACGGTTAGCATAGGAATCTAATGACATTGACACTCCAATGTAAACACAAAAGTCAAAACAAATTATCAAAACATTGATACGGACTGCTTTAAAATTTATCTTAAAAAAAGACAGTTTCGTGTTAGTTTTTGTTACTTTTTTTAAATAAGATACAAAGCAGTAAGAATGCCTCCTAAAAAGCAACCTGAAAAAGGCGGGAAGGGTAACGCGGCAGCTAAAGGTGGAGCAAAATCCGGCGGGGATTCAAAAGGTTATAACTGTTTAATGCTTCGTTTAGTTTAGATAAAAACGTGTTTTCAATATGTTCTTGTTTTAAATTTAGAATCTGGCGGGAAAGAAAAAAAAGGTGGCACCGCTGTCAAAGTCCGTCATATATTATGCGAAAAACAGTCGAAATGTTTAGAGGCCCTAGAAAAGTTGAAAGCCGGTCAAAAGTTCCCTGATGTAGCTGCTGCATATAGTGAGGATAAGGCGCGTCAGGGTGGAGATTTGGGTTGGATGACGCGCGGTTCTATGGTGGGACCTTTCCAAGATGCAGCATTTGCTTTACCAATTTCTGCAGTAACAAATCCGGTGTACACTGACCCTCCTATTAAAACCAAATTCGGATATCATATTATTATGGTAGAAGGAAAAAAATGAGTGACACAGTGTTTGAGTTTGAATATTTTTGGGCAATACTACTACTATTTATTATGGAACGGATTTGTTGTTTACAAGAACAATTTGATAAGGATTTTGCATTATTGCCTGATTCACAGCAATCAAATGAATCCCTTATTTCAAATATTGAAGACTTTGCTAATAAAGAGTAAGCCCAGTTCTTTATACTATTTTCAATAACTTTAATTGTATAAATATAAAACTTTATCGGCACTTGGTTTGATTTCGAGCCAGATAATAATTTTGGGTTGGTAGGTTATGCATCAACTCACATATCAATGAAACACAAATATATTTCCAACTTACTTAAAGATATTAATTTGTTTTTCCAGTTTTGGACTAAAACTAAGTTTTCTAAGGCTTTATCGGTTAATGCATATCACAATGCTATTGACATTAGTATATTTCTGCAATATTTGTCTATGGTTCATTATGATGAAGAAAAATTCAAACAAATCATATGCCTACCGCTTCAGATTATTTTTTCCAGCTAGTTAATTTGTGAATAAAATTTAATACTGTTTAATACATGGTCTTTTATTTGTTACTTTCTAGGTGATATCTATATTGTTTGTTTGGGTATATTTAAAAATATTATAAAGATTTTACATATATGTATTTACAGTTTCATTACGGTGTTATTTATAATAGCATCAGCGGATTAGGGTGCAATAATAGTAGTTAGGTTTTTATTCATTATATGCATATTTTATTGCTTGCTTGAGTCAGAATTGTTAATCCAGAGATATAATACAAAAACAATGATTTTGCAAATTTAGATTATATCACCACCTAGGCATTCCATTTTTATAACTGATTCAGAGTTATAAGGTGTTGTTTTACAAAACTATTTTTTATCTATGTTAACTGGAAACTACTATGCAAAACTTTTACTGTACAGATTTTATCCAGTCTGGATAAGTTAAAATGGAAAATGAAAAACTTCAAGTATTTTGTCAAATATATGATGAATATGAATGCTTGTCTTATTTTCCTCAATAAAACTTGAATTGGTACACTACTAATATTATTTTACTATATTAGATGTCTTTCTTCTATTGATGTTAGTTGGGGGTATCAGTGGGTTACATATGTATATAACCCAGGGTGGCTTGATTTAATTTACAAATAAAAACAGACCCATTTTGAAATATATTTTTTATCTGAAATATATTTAATCGATTCTTATAAATATCTTTATTCAATAACGCATAATAAATTAAGTACTTAGACGTTATAATACTATTGAGGTGAGTAAAAAATTACATATAAAAGTGATGTTCATACTTTGATTTAAAATTAATTAATTTAACACCATCAGAGGGAATACCTTATATACTGAAAATACACATATGGAAACTTTTTTTTCTTACTCGTTGATTACATACGTTATTTTTAACATAAATGTAATTCCTAGCAATTCTATTTTCAAGACGAATTGTTTTATTCTTTAATCATCTACTAACGGCTTTCCCTCCTCCTGTTACTGGGTTTGACAAGTAAAAATTGGACAATAAGTCAAAATATTTGAAAGTTCTGCGCCTTACGCTGGAATTTGTCATGCAAATTTACATAGATTATATATTTTAATACTTATCAAACTCATAACAAAAGGTGTATTAAAATAAGTATACGTTATTAAACTCGTAAATTGGGGTTTGTGTATCGGACGTATTTAAGTAATGCGTCGTTTTCTTCGCAAACAAAAGGTTTGACGTGGTGACAGGCGACGTCGTGCCAGTGGACTCCGTCGTTGTAGAAGTTGTTTAGAATAGCGATGCAATGCTCAGCCGCACCTCCTTGGATCAATTCCTGTAAAAAAGAAAAGTAAATATTATTTAAGGCGCTATTTTTTTATCGCAGACGACTCCGTTCAAATCCTGTTACTCTTGCAGCGATACCGACAGCTTTCCCAATCTCATAAAGAGTTTTTGGTTTCCAAGATTGCATCAACGCTACGGATAATAAGAGAACAACATCGAACATCGTTCCAAGGCAAAAGTAAGGCACCATAGAAAAATTTGCGCCTGCATTTTTTTTATAGCAAAAGTTCTTTCTGATGTGTACGGAAAATCATATTGTTTTAAATGCCTTATAAAATACCTATTGATACTTGTATACGAATTTGATACGGATCTAGTATCCTCTATATTAAATTATAATTCATAATTGTTACGAGTCGTACATGAACAAGGCGTCTAAAGAGAACTAAACCTTTTGAGTTAATAAGCCTAGTGTAGTGAAAATAAGTGCAAGTGCGGTATCTCGGACACACAAACATAGTGTCAAAACATTATAAAACACTAAGACTTTTAATGAACATTATCTTAGTGTAAGTTATTCACTAGTATTGTATATTAAGTCAACATAGCCATAACTGCACTCTCTTTTGTGAACTTTATTCTAGGAAAAAAAAGTTTTCAAATAATTTCAATGTCCAAAACGTCTAGTCTAGTGGTAAAGAGATAATCTCAACCTGAGGTGAAGATATCAGGTGTTGGAACCCCGGTAATAACATATTTTTTATTTCTATATTCTGGTACAGGGAATGAAACAAACTGAGGCTATAACCCAAATCCTAGTACATCAATATACTCGTATGTATAAATCTTTACATATTTTTATAACTATGAATTGTGTAATACTGTCTACTTAAAAACAGCCTTAAAAATCTATATAAAGTCTTGGGGATTCCAGCTAGTTGCTTTGTACTTAGGGAATATGTACGACGTCTAAGGCCAAGGTTGTTTAATGTTTGCGATATTGGTCCTTGGGGACCAGAACCAGACTGTTGCACAGATCCCCGGTAACAAAGACGTTGCTACTGAATGCTCTCTCCACTATCGACATCTTTATAATAATATGTTCGCAGAGTTCACAGTAGCGATATTGTGTATCTTATGTAGTTAATATATTTTTGCGATATTATCGTATTGTCTTAGTACTGTAAGGATAGTGTATGGTTTTTGTGAATAAATAAATATCAATGGATTCAGTTGACAGGTATTTGAAATGAAATGACTTTATTTCCTTTCGGAACCAGCTTATTTAAATTCATCTTGCGTTAGTACCAATCCAATAGAAATTTTAATTTCTAAATCTATTTGCTTTTCACGTATTTCCACATTTAAGAAAGTTAAAACATCTTTGTGTTACTAATGAACGAGCGAAAATGTCAAAAGAATAATTCGTCTGGTGAAAGTGCCAAACAATGTGACGATGCTGGTGGAATATTGATGAGCCGTGGAAAGTATACGGGTATGCCCTTAGGCAAATAAACGCTTGAACGCTTTCGATTTCATTCGATGTTGCGAAATTATGGAATAATAACTACAACGTCCAACCTTTTCTCTCTCTTCCTTTTCTTGATCTCTGTATGTTTGATGATCATTTGTCAATCTAATAGGAGAGGTGATCAGCCTCCTGTGCCTGACACATAATGGCAAAGAGCAGCAATTTTTAGCCCTAAGGTCGCGCTTGTAATAATAATAAATTGTGCGTGTACTAGGTGTACACACGTAAGAAGTGAAACTTCTTTATGATCTTATTTTTCGAAAAATGATCTACTATATGCAACTTTACAGAAATTCGTTAAATTAGATAAAGTTTAACAAAAGGCTTTTATTATCATAGACATGAATACAAATATTTCATTTTACCTTATTACTGCGAAGATTATTATAGAATTTCATTAATTGTAATAGAATTATTACTATCATTGAAAAACGTGACGATTTGCTACAAAATTTCTCCCATACGTCGATAAAGAAGTTTCATTCCAACGCCGATAAAGAAGTTTGACTTCAAAAAGCAACATGGCGCGTAACCGAAAAATGTGACGCGTAACGAAAAAATGTTACACTAAATTTTTTTCCAACCTCGATAAAGAAGTTTCACTTCAATAATAATTTTTTGCAAGAATATGGTACAAAAATGTGTAAGGTAGTACAATCGTAAGTTCGCATAGTCTGCCACATACAATGGCGCACAAATTTGTCTTTAAAGGAATTTTACATTTTACATTATTAGTCATATGAATTGGTCAGTTCTTATCTTATTTGTATCGTACATATCATACGTTATTAAATTTATATCAACTACAGTGTTTCACGCAAATAATCATTTATTGAATAATAAATTTTTTCCAAAAGTAATACACCAAGTCGATTTTTAAAAACTCTAGTCGGAAGATCTTTTAATTCTTTGGTAAATTATTGTAAACCTTAATGCCATACAAAAGGTGTTTTTCCTAAACATTTCCAGACTGATTTTTGGCACAGCCAATTTCTCCCCATGTCTACTTCGACAGATGTTTATTCCCGTTGAATTAAAAATATGTATGTTTTTGTGCGAATAAGGACATTTCGTAGACTGTGATGCTAAGATAAACCTATTAGATAACCGATAAATCGGCTGACATGACGGCTCATTGGTCTAGGGGTTAGTACCCCTGACTGCGAATCCATGGGTTCGATCCCCGGCTGAGACAAACATCGATGTGATGAGTATTTGGTGTTGTGCTTAGGTCTTGGGTGTTTAAATATGTATTTATATGTGTTAGGTCTATCTATGTATAATATAGTATATCCGTTGCCTAGTACCCATAACACAATCTTCAACAGCTTAGTATGGGACTAGGTCAATTGGTGTGAATTGTCTAATCATAAAAAAATATCTGTTTTGTGAATTTTTCAATAGGAAAAAGTTGATCAGTCTTCTGTTCCGGACATCGGAAGGCATTCAAGTATTTAAGGGTTTTTATTACTAATAAAACTCGTATCTGAATGTCACCAAGTTTCCTTATAAGGAGAAATGTTTGCAGCAGATTTTAATTTCGTAATTGCAAATATGCCGCTTTCGTATTCATTGAATGACATCATTGTATGACTACTATCCAATACGTTACGACATGAGGGCACGCATCGTTTCTTATGGTGGCATATATAAGGTCTGTAATACTAATAAAACGTATATGTATACTAGCAGACCGGCCAAGCGTTGCTGTGGCTAAGGTTTTAGTTATAATACATAGTAGTAACCTATTCAAGGGAAACGGTAGGAGAACACTAGTCATGGGTACGACCATGCTTTTTTGGTGGTTATGCCATTAAATTGTAGCTTATGTGAAACGTTGGTACGTTCAACACAGCGCCATCTGTTAGAATTGTGACTATCAAATAATAAACAAATATTTTGCAATAAAATAATATTGCGGGTATAAATTAAGATGTAAGCTATCCTATCTTTTAAGTTGGATCAAACTACACACGGTGTGCAAATTTGATTGATATCGGTTCGGTAGTTTAGGAGTCCATAGCGGACAAACAATGTGATACGTAATTTATATATATTAAGATATAATGAGCCGCGTTGGCCTAGTGGCTTCAGCGTGCTACTCTAATCCCGGAAGTCGCACTTGCGCATTTAATATCTGGTCGTAGAAAAAAAAACATCGTGAGGAAACCGTCTTGCCTTTGACACAAAAAGTCGACGGCGTGTGTCAGACACAGGAGGCTGATACTTGCCTATTAAATCGACAAATGATCATGGAAGAGACGGAAATCTGAGGCCCAAACCTAAAAAAGGTGTGGCGCTACTGATTACTAACTACAGCTGAGTTGTACGCACAACAGACCAATTAGGAGTCTAATTGCGGAGAAAGGAGTCCTACTACCCTACAGCTGAGTTTCATCAGCAGACGTCGAGGCAGAATGCAAAATACCATCCGTATCACCTCGACGTCCGTCCGCAACTGAGCGTTTAAGACAGTTTTTCTATCTGTGGAACCAGCTACCCCGACTTTACTTAGGGTCCTTCAAGAAAAGACCGTACTAATTCTTAAAAGACCTTCTGGCATTGACAGAGTCCAAAGATGGCGGGTATAAACATCAGGTGTGCCTCCTGCCCGTTTGCCCCCTGTTCTATAAAAAATGGTGATTGGTGCTTCTCTAAGTAAATTTATGCTCTCGTATATGAGTCATATGAAATTTGTCATGCCTATAGAAGAAATACCTGTTGTATTTCCTGATGATGATAACATTCCTGCTTATACAGTTCCGTTACTGCATTGAATAATAATGAACTGAAGAAGTCATTTACTGTCAATACTTCTAAATGTAGCGGCTTAGTGTATTAACACTAATAATAATAATCAATGTCGCTACAACCTTTTTAGGTCTGGGCCAGAGATTTATGTACCTGTTTCATGATCATTTGTTAATCTAATAGGCAATTAAATTAACCTTCGTGCCTGACGCATGCCGTCGACTTTTTGGGTCTAAAGCAAGCCGGTTTCCTCACGATGTTTTCCCTCACCGTTCGAGCGAATGTTAAATGCGCACATAGAAATAAAGTCCATTGGTGCACAGGCGGGGATCGAACCTTCGACCTCAGGGATGAGAGTCGCATGCTGAAGCGACTAGGCCAACACTGCTCATTATATATATACATGTATATATATTTTATTGGTATTACAGACCTCATATATGCCACTTTAAGAAACGATGCGTGCCCTCATGACGTAACGTATTGGATAGTAGGCATGAGGTGATGTCATACAATGAAAATGACACAAAAAAAACTAACACTAAGCTTCATAAATTCTAGATATTGGTAAAAACCCCGACATATATATTATTTTAGTTATTTTTTTGTAATATTTTATGGTTGCTTGTTTAATTTTTTCCCTTGCTAGCTTGCTTATGTTCTAAAATAATTGATGTGTGTTCTAATATTTAAATTTCGCGCCTTTTGCTCCATTTACATGAGTTGTCTTTTATGTCAAGTCTGTCTCTCGTTTCTTTTTTGCCCTACTCTCTACTCTGTGAACATTACTAGCCATTTTGTTTTTCAAACTAAATAAAGTCTAAGTTATTTTCCACATATAAAACTACTTGTTTCCATTAAATATTAAGAATGTGTATGTGTAGTATTGTCTTTGATTACCGTGACCACGCACGCTGTAAAGCACGCGAAACGTCGGATAAATTTAAAATTATGTTAAATAGTTGTAAATTTATAATAATACATAACTTCAATCCGGTCAAAATAGTGTTTTATTAAATGTGTATGTGTGTAAACGTGCTATTAGGTCAATTTATTGCTTGAAACCAGGCACTTCACTTAGAAATTTGTTCAAGGAAATCGATATTTTGACGGTACCTTCCCAATATATTTACAACTGTATCGTTTTTGTGCGTAGTAATATTAGTTCTCTTTTAAAGAACAGCGACATTCACAATAGGAATACAAGAAATAAGGGAAAACTTTTCCAGCCGTCTTACAGGTTGCAGAAAATAAATACTTCATTTATGGGCCTAAGTATACGCTGCTATAACATGATTCCTAGTGAAATATTGGAACTGCCTTTAAACAGATTCAAAACACACATCAAAAAAACCTTAATGTGTAAAGGTTACTACACACTCAATGACTACCTGGAAGATAAAAACGCTTGGCAATAGTTCTAATTATATTCTTATAATTTGATTTGTTATCTTTGAAGTGTTATGAATATGTGTGTAATGGTGAATGTGGTAAATCACAGAACAGATTTTTTATTTTTTTTACTTATGTAATTTTAATGACGTTGTGGTTTATGACATTTTCCTTTGAATAATTGTAATGTAAAGGGAGGGCAAACTTGCTGAGTTTCTTGCCCGTTCTTCTCAGAACAAGGCCTCCTGGTAGTTTTGCGAACGGATGGCGTAGTCTTGCTCTTTCGTGAATTTTGTAAACGTTGTTGACATTCATAAGCATGCTCTAAGAAGCATCTAAATTGAATAAACGTATTTTGATTTTGATTTTTTGATTTAACATTTGTTATATCATATTTTCTTGTATAATTTTATGCATACAGGTTGTTTTAAAACTCATAAATAAATTTAAAAATAAATTGATCCTAGGGGGAACTATAGGGGTTGCAATCGATGGTTCGATGTTTTGTTTATAAATCCCAATTTATAAACAAAATTGCGCTGAATTAGGCACTTAGCAGAAGAATCAAGCCACTAGATCCAGCGTTGGAAAGAATACTCACCCTGTTGTCAGGCTGTGGTTTCCCAATACCGCCACCCTCGGACCAGTCGTTCTGCTGTCTGTTGGTGGTCGGAGCCAGCTTCTGGAGTTCAGCAGTCCAAAACCAACCATTGACATCATTGGGAAGCAGATCGGGACGGTTGCAACCCTTGAAGTCACATACGCGTCCAGAAGTCCAGATGTATTTGACCTGGAATTTTGTTTTTGGTTACCTTGAACAACTTGGCTTCAGATGCATTGAGATGTGGCGTCTCGCTACATCTTCTACCGCATTTACCATGGAGTGTTCAGGGGAGTTGTTCGAATTAATACCTGCAGCTGAGTTTCATTATTGGACGTCAAGGCAGAATACAAAATACTATCTATATCACCTCGACGTCCGTCGTTCCACAACTAAGCGTTTTAAGACAGTTTTTCTATCTGTGGAACCAGCTGCCCATTGAAATGTTTTCGAATCGACTTAGGGTCCTTCAAGAAAAGAGCATACCAATTCTTAAAAGACTGGCAACGCACTTTTATCAATGTAAGTGTCCATGGGCAGTGGTATCACTTAACATCAGATGAGCCTCCTGCCCGTTTGCCTCTTGTAACATATAAAAAGAGCTTCATCGCCAACGAACACGTATACGCTTTCTATTTCTGAAAATTCGTGACGCGAATTTTAAAATTTCTATATTATGGAGGCCAAGGTTCGGCCATTGTCATGAAAAACTCTTGCGAGAAAATGGGCACGGATATACGCATTGTATTACGTTTAAATATGTTAAGTGGAACATTTGCGAAAAGTTTCTAAAAAGTAATTGGTTTAGTATTGCTCTATTCCATATATATTTAGAAGGAAATGTTTTCTTATTTAAAAACTCATATGCATATGAATAATATTACTATAAAATTATTCTATAATCACACTCGTGATAATAAACTATTTTCCCTCCAATTGCTAGGCATCTTGTCATCACCCTTTAGTCTTTTCCATCACAGACTATAGCAAAAATATAACCAAAGAGGTGCTAAGTGTTTATTAGCCATAACCCGTGATCACTTATTGAATTTGTTATTTTGCATCCTGGTGTCGAAGATGTTCTCTATACATTCACCTTTTTTTAAAATTGCGTCTTATTGATTCTTCTAGTATTTTCCTAATATCACAGACTACAGCATAAATATAACCAAGGAGGTGCTAAGTGTTTATTAGCCATAATCTGTGATCATTAATTGAATTCGTTATTTTGAATCCTCGTGACGAAGATGAGTACTAAATCACATATTTGCGAAACCGCGTTTTATTTAAGCTTGACAAAATTTGTTTCAAGAATATTATGATTTAATTTAACGTTAAGATTATATTATGCCTAATATAATCTTAACGAATATTATCCTACCTTATCCTGTATGATGCGTGCTTTAACCCATTCGTTTTCGTCGCTGGTCTCCAAAGACACGAGATCCATGCAACGCTGTCTACAGAAGTTTCTAGCAGTCAGCCAGTCGACCTCAGTACTGCGCTGAGCTGGGTCCCGCCAGGAGAAGTAATATCCTTTGTCTGCAAGAAATAATTATTTACACCTTAACTAAGGAATATCTATACTAATAAAATAAATAAATAAATCAATGGCGCTACAAGCTTTTTAGGTCTGTGCCTCAGATTTGTATCTGTTTCATGATCATTTGTTAATCTAATAGGCAAGAAGGTGATCAGCCTTCTGTACCTGACGCACGCCCTCGACTTTTTGGTCGGAAGCCGGTTTCCAGTCCATTGGTGCACAGGGGATCGAACCTACGACCTCAGGGATGTGAGTTGAAGCCATTAGGAACACTGCTACTACAACGAAGTTATAGCGTGTCGAAAATGGCTTGCACTGCTTCGAGAAAAAGATGGTACCTCTTAGGCACAGCAGCTATGATGACATCAATAGCACTATATGTAGGAAAAGTGTAAATCAATGTTTTTCCAACGCTATTTACATTGTGTAATAGAATCATGGGAATTGGGTACGCAGTATCAATAGAAAACTTACTTTCCATATTGTCGTGGAAATGTCTTTGTGAACGCGAAAGGAAAACGGCGCTTTTGTTTTTGATAAAAATGTAGGTTAGAGAAAATTACGTTTTGAACATAACAATATTCCACTGCGTTAATAAATTTCTCCCGTAATTCGCAATATGATTACGTTATTACGCCGTAAAAAAAGTGAAATTGTACAGAACATTTAAAAAATCATAATATGACTCAAACTGAGTTTTTAATATGTTTCTTAAAAAAAATAAAAAAAAAGTTAACGCCCGAACAGGGACTTGAACCCTGGACCCTTGGATTAAAAGTCCAATGCTCTACCGACTGAGCTATCCGGGCCATGCTAAGTGTTTTGAAATAAAGGTTTAAAAGCAAAATCTTTACATTATGTTAAAGTGTTATTTTTATTTCTTTGTTTTAGTTCTAAAAATGTTTTTATTTATAAAACCTGAACTACTATTAAATATACAGTATTTACAATTTTCTTAACCTAGTAATAATAATCATAATTAAAAATTAATAAAAAGAAAATTAAAACAATTTTAAAAAGTTTGGTCCCTATGGCAGTGTACCTATGACTGGCAGCATTTCCTCGCTGGATTGCGATACTTATTTGTTGAGAGAGGAAAGCACCAGCTCTGGGGTCACCGATACCACGTATATCTACCAGGCGCCAACTTAAATCTTTAATTAACGCCTATGCCTACACTTGACAATAATCAATTACGATCCTATTGAAATAAATATTAAATTTAATAAGACAAAAACTTTGTGTTGAATATTAATAATAATTCAGCATTGAAACATTATTTTTTTTATAGACCAGATATTTCCGGAACAATTCGACTTAGGGTCCTTGAAGAAAAGAGCGAACCAATTCTTAAAAGGTCGACAACGTACTTGCGAGCCTTCTGGCAATGTGAGTGTCCATGGGCAGTATCACTTAACATCAGATGAGCCTCCTGCCCGTTTGCCTCCTATTACATAAAAAAAAATGCTAGTAACATTCCTTCCTTGGTCTTCAGTAATGTTTTAAAATAATGATATCTTCCCGGAAACGAGATAAAAACCTGTTAAACGGGACTCTTGATAACGATATGGAATTCCGTTGCTAATCTTACATTTTAAGTGCTTTAAAACTTTCTACGATTTATCTAATGGCCGATTATTATATCTCTTTTAAAACTTAAAGGAAGTTCTATTGTTACTATGTTCCTTACGTTGACCAATCTGGATGATCAAGGTATCACAGGTGATAAACAACAACATTATACGTGTTAAAATGAGTCACATAAAAATATGTTTGAAAGATATTTTTATACAGAAGTGTGCCGAGCGTTGGCAAGCTTTTTCTCAATTAAAAAAAAAACTGGAGATGCGTTTGGCCAATTCCGCCTGACCTTAAGTGAGGTGTAGCCTCTTGGAGGGCATATCCAGGAGATGCCTGTTTAACAGCTGCTTATATAAACCCATATTATACTGTCTGGGGAAGATGGAAGAGGGCCAGGAGTTTGGCTTTGCTGTATTGATGCATCAAAAAAATAAGGGGTGGTTTTTTTTTCACATTTGAGTCGGTTCGTTTCCCAGACGAGACAAGTAATTTTTAGAAAATCATTGAATGCAGTTTTACTTATTTCAAAACAAAATAAAGTCTTCTTTCAGCAAAATATCCTATCTACGATATTTAAGTTACGTTCCCTTGATGTCCCATAGTCTTGGGACATCCTGTACATGCCAAAATTGGTAATAGGCTCTTGAAAGGTCATCTTCGAGCTTTCTGGTAAGTGAGGGAGTAGGGATCGATGCATATAAATCTAGCATCGATCCCTACTATCCCTTAATCTACACAATAATATTTGTCTGGTACAGTACAAGCAAGATTTACAGTTTGCCCTATCTGTTTAAAGCCTTGGGGGTGAGAAACAACCCAAATGTTCTTCAAGAACTTGGTTTCTTTGTAGCTAGGAGATATGTGCGAAGGCAATAAAGCGGGCCATAGACGGTCCGCATGTTGCAGTCAAGACCGACTGCAACATGCGGTCGCCGCACGGCGATCTGCAGTTTCCATACTAAATTCATATTCGCAATACACGGACCGCTCGAGCAGTTCATGAGCTTAAGGGCCACAATCTGTTGCAAAGATCCCCGTTAACAAAGACCTTGCCACTGAATACTGACACTCCTATTGACATCTTTATATGTTCAGTGAGTGCATACTAGCGATATTGTTTATCTTATGTATTTAATATGTTTTTTTTAATGGATAATGTATGTATTTTTGTGATAACTTACTGTCTGCATATCTCTCGTGAATGGTTCGTTGGCCACACTGTGATGGCACAGGTGGTTCAAGGATTCGGCCATTTTGAAATTGCGCGTGGGCCACAGCCATAACCGCCAATAGCACGAATTGTTTCATTATCTGTAAAGATGGAAAACCTTTTTAATAATTCAAATATTAAATGCCAATATTAAAAGGGATCTACGTTTAGTACCAGTTCCCAAATCAAGGGACGAGAAGAACTGGCAAGAAACTCTCTGACACTTTTCTTAATCCAAGCTGGCGATCAAAGAAATTGTACTATCTGCTTAAATTATCTTCAAACCACAACTTTATACTTCCTTTGTAAATAATCAATTTTATTGAACAAAGGGCAAACGAGCAGTAGGCTCACCTGATGTTAAGTGATACCGCCCATGGACACGCTCCAGGCCAGGGGGCTCACGAGTGCCATGCCAATAAGTACGCGTTATATCAGCTTAAGATGACACTGCCTCGAGGGCATTTCTTGTATTTGAATTTGTTATTATGTTAAGAATATTGTAAATACTTGTTTAGTAGTATATAATATAATTAGTGTTAGGACTGCTTTTACTCATTTGTTTTTGTCCTATTTTGATGTATATACAGGTTGGTCAAAAAGTCGTGGATCAAACGCAACTAGAGGATAGGTGAGGTCATCAGATGCAAAAAATTGTTCTACGGGAGGTCCCTATTCCTCAAAATCCCTATTAAATGCGCCAAAACTTGTAATACAGGGACACTTTTCGGTAGAGTATTTTTTTTACAGTGGGGTCCGACGTAAGCAAAAAGTTATGATTTGAGAAATTTTTATATCGTAGGTATAACTTAATATTATGTTCAATACACTCAATAAAAAACTATAAATAGTATGTCTAGCGCAAGGACTCATCAGTACCAATCTAGTGGATATTATGAAAAGTGAGATACAGGATGTAGATTTTTTCGCGATACTTATTCGTTGAGGAAAGCACCAGCTCTGGGTTCACCGGTAGTACCAGGCACCAACTTCACCAACAGTCTCTACTCCACAGGGAACAAAATCGAAGTTGGATGTAAATTAATTTCTTTATAATAAAAATAGTATTTTTGATAGCTTTTACTCATTTGTTTTCGTCCTATTTGGTTCACGCTGTGGTGTTCTCTAAATTCTGGTTACTGCTTTTTAAGTTCTAATCGGATAAGGCTCTGCTGTTACTGCATCCCACCTAGAGCGATTATTGGTGACGCCTTGGGATTTTAGTGGGTATTATGGTGGTGGTTATTATGAGTCCCACATAATCCCGCACTAAGCAGTCGCGCCGCGGAAGGGTATGTATTTCCCCAAGTAAATAAAAAAAGTGCGTGCGTACAAAGTACACGTCAGAAGTGAAACTTCTTTGAAAAACTTTTAAATCTTGTTCATATTTATACAAATCTAAAACTTTAGATTTCTGAGACTTGGAGGGAAAAAGGAAGATATGTGAAGAATTCCTAATTCAATGAATTTCATTGTCATTAAAATATTAAGTGTCGAAAATTAATACAAATTTAATTTATTTCTTCGACAATAAAAATACGTGGCATTTTAATTTACTATACATAATTTGGGATTTCAATAAATTATTTTGCATAAAATATAAAATACTATATTTCATAAATTCTCTTTACGGAATGTTAATTTTAAAAATAGAATTTCTATTAGGTATTTCACCCTCTCACTCTCTTTCAATCGGTCTCAATCGCTCTCTCCCTTTCGACAAAAACGCTGCACATCTTCGTGACGTTCCGTAAAAATTTTACCCTCATGGGCCTAAAGAAGTTTCACTTCAAAAATTGTATTATATAATTCATAAGTGTACTCGTTTTTTATAAATAAAATAAAACTATATATAATTTATAAAACTAAAAAAGCCTGAGTGAGCGTAACGTAAACGCCTTGGCTCAGACATTTCGTAAAAATAATCACACATTGAAAAGAAACCGAGAGAAAAAAACGCTTTATTTCATTTAAATTAACGTACATATATTTCAGAAGTTTTAAATATAACTTATTAATGTCGTCATGACCGTGACCTAGTGGCTTCAGGGTGTGACTCTCAGCCTTGAAGTCTCCGGCGACCAATAGACTTTTTGTCTATGGGTGCATTTTGATTTAACATCCGCTCGAACGGTGTACATCGTGAGATAACTGGCTTGCCTTAGGGTGGGAACTGACCAAAGTTACGAGGTGTAATGTAGCATTCGCATCGAGCGTGTTACGCATCGAGCATGTTACGCTGTGTTCTAAAATCGACGTAACATGCTCGTCAAAACTCTGTGCTCCGCTTTCGCCGCCAGTGTTCACGAGATGGCCAACAGCGAGGACGTGTTGATATCTTTCATTCTATTTAATTATTGTTTCATCCAAATTAAGAAGAAGAAGAAAAATGTTACTGGACATCAAACTTATTTAAAAACACAGGCGTATGCGGTGGTTTGTTATTGATTGCAATATTAAAAAACCGAATGATTACTGGACAGTATAAAACCTTTGTACGCATGTCTCGATTTTGAATAACTGTTGAATTTAATTGGACCAAAAGTACTTAAAAAAGACACAATTTATTTATAAAATCATAATCATGATCACTTGCGACGTGCGACGCGTACTGACTGAACCGCGTAACAGTCAAAGGATTCGCTGAAAAACCGACCGCCGGATGGAGCACTCAACGCGATTTCTTCGTAACACGACGTACTGACTGCACGAATGCTCGCTGTGTAACGTGTTACATTACACCTCGTAACTTTGGTCAGTTCCCACCTTTAGACCCAACACGGCGGCGAGTGTCAGGCAGAGGAGGCTGTTCACCTACTTGCCTATTAGATTAACAGATGATCATAAAACAGCTATAGCCCAAACCTAAAAGGTTATATCGCCACTGATTTATTTTTATTTACGTTGTAGGAAAATAATAAAAAGACTAAAAAAGTTATATTTTTACATATGCTTTTTGAACAAAGATGGCCGTATTAGTGCAAAATGTCAAGTGTAAGGTCATGGTCAACTTTTTTTGTTAGAATCATCGAAACAGCTTTCATTAATTGAGATTAGAATCGCTTAATGCTTCGTGATTTTTTGGTTTTTATTATAATCCTCTAGAATGAGACAATAAACTCAGACGGCAGAATACGAAATTCCATCCGCATCTTCGTCCCACAACTGAGCGTTTATCTTTATCACGTGTTGTTACCACGAATGTAAGTACGTGCTCCTATTTCACCATGCCTACTGCTGATAGAGGAGTTTGTTTTGATTTAATGTTTTTTAAACAAAACAAACTCCTCTATCAGCAGTAGGCATGGCTAGAAATCTTTGTTTTAATTTTTTTTTATTATTAATTATTTAAGATGTCATGTGGAACATGGTGTAATGGTTGCAGGTCCTTACATTGTGTAAAACTAATAACTTGACGATTAAAAAGAGTGGCGGAGAGTTTATTGCCAGTTCTTGTCGTCGGTTCTACGCCCTTGATTTTCTTTCCTACAACTGGAAATGCTGCCAGCGTTGAAAGTACACGGACCGAACCTTTTAAATTTGTTTAATTTTCTATTTGTTAATTTATAAATTGTATATATGACATTTGCATGCCTTATTGCATCTGATTGTGCGGTTTATTTATAATAATCAATCAATGTAAATGTTCACTTTCTTTGTAAATAAACTATTTATTATAACAAAATAGTTTCGATTTGGAACCAGGCATGAATTATAACACCCAATAGCGATATTTTTAACCAATTTTACCGAAGTTAGCGAAAGTTAGTGGTACCGGCGAATCGAGCAGTACAGATATTCTAATAAATCAAGTTTTATATCTCGCTATTATAACAGTTATTATATTATGTTGAGAGACCGGTCCTAGCTAGGGTTACAATAATTTAAAGTTTTGTAATAAAATAAATGGCGGGACTTTTTAGATCTGGGCCTTAGATTTCTGTACCTGTTTCATGATCTGTCAATCTAATAGGCAAGTAGGTGCCTGACACACGCCGTCGACTTTTTGGGTGTAAGGTTTTCTCACGATGTTTTCCTTCACCGTTCAAACGAACGCGCACATAGAAAGTCAATTGGTGCACACCTGGGCATGGAACCTACGACCTTTTACCGTTATTTAATTAATTTTTACTGTTTGGTCTTTCATACTTTAACTGTTGATGAATTGATTGGTAAGTCTATGAAGATGAATATATATTTATTTAGATTGAACATTAAACACCTATTTTCAAAGGTATTCCCTTCAATGTATAGTCACACTGTTAATTAATAAAACTACCACAGAAAGACATGTGGCGGTTCCCTACTTTCCATTTTTGTTTTTTTTTAATTCTTCTTATGTTATACGCAGAAACAAACGGGAAGGAGGCTCATCTGAAGTTAAGTGATACCGCCACCCATGGACACTCTCAATCCCAAGGGGCCCGCGATGCCGGCCTTTTAATAATTGGTACGCTCTTGAAGGACCCTAAGTCGAATTGGTTCGAAAACACTTCAGTTGGCAGCTTTCACAAAGTGGTGGTGCCTTTCAAGAATAGGTACGATCTTAGAGGACCCTAAGTCGAATTGGTACGGAAACACCTCATGGGGTAGCTGGTTCCACATAGTGGTGGTGCGAAAACTGCCTTTAAAAACGCTTAGATAGCGTACCCTATTTATTGAAGTTTTCTATCCCTTGTAGTTCTTTTAATGTCCGTAGTGTTACTGGCGTATTGGGATAGCATGGTACAAAAGATTATATAGCAAACATGCATCCAAAATAAAAATTGTAATGGATTAAAGCTCTATCTTTGAACTTAATGTAAATTTGTCGAATCGCGAGTTATGTAACATCTTAGTTAATAATTAGAAGCGTTATATTCAAATTCAAATTCAAAAATCATTTAATCATATAGGTAGCATATTGTACACTTATAGATCAAGAGCCCAGGACTGCCAGACCTTCGTCATTTTATAAAAGCTGAAAGTTCTTCTGTGCGTGTCCCCTATACAGGTAAGAACGACCAGAGACTATAGAGTTTGGATAGTGGTTACTGTCATAAGTGTCCGGCAATGTATGACGATATTTATAAAGTTATCCCTACTAAAATATAAAAAA